CATGTTGAGTAGTGAACCCATAATTATTGATAGTACCAGTAATAACGTATTAAGTGTGTATCCTCCATATGTACTACCAACTGAGTTCTAGTGAAGGTACCATATGTAAGCTTGTCATGTAGTGTGTTCTCTTAAATGTACAATCAGTAATGATGTAGGAAGCAAGAGTATCTAATTGGAATTGCAGATGAGTAAAGCCAAGGAGTTGATCCTTGTAGTTGAATGTTAATGACATCTTTAACCAAATTGAATTTCATATTAATAAACCATTTTTAGAGTACAGTATGTTAGGGGTATCATTTTCCTTCAGTAACTATCTTTATTCTTGTCCAATAGCTTGATACCAGAATTACAGAACCCATGTGCCCTAACTCTCGCCATGCTACCAAAGGTCAGAGGTTTGAAGTAACTATATGAAATTAAATAATTAGACAGTACTAATAATGAAAAAGAAAGAAATAGAATATAAGGAAAAGAAAGAAGTAGAATATAAAGAAAAGAAAGAAAGAGAAAAAGCAAAAACCTGCCCCTGCCCTTATAATATTGCATCCCGTCACAATACAAAAATAGTTGGCATTCATCAAAATAACTGCTATTATGTTCATTACACTTCACACCAGTACACGTCCTTCATCAAATAACTACTATTATCATCTTCATTCTTCATAAAAACCATTGACCTCCTTACCTTGGTCATTCCTTCTTACCATAACACAAGGGTGTGTCATACGGAGGCGAATTTTTTTTTTTTGAGTTTGAAAAATCGGCCCATGGTATTAATGATGTAGTTCTATGTGCAGAATCATGTGATATCTTCAGCCTAGACCCTCGACCATGCTACCCAACAATAGGTGACGGAACTGAGTAAGAGTACGAACTAGAGAAGTAAGTAAGATGAGGGTGGTGTAGAAAAGGAGAGGGAACTGGCCCCCTCACATTGGTGGCAAGACCAAGAATCGGCCCCCTCACATTGGTGGCAGCCCAAGAATCCGCCCCCTCACAACAATACTCCAGATGGGGAAGCACTTTACTCTTGAAGATCGTTACGAGGGACGGACCGTCTAGATATCTGAACGGCCTTCTTATAAGACCCAATAATTCATTTGCCTGATTTACCTTCTTCTCGCAATGGCCCGAGAATTTCAGCTCATTGTCAACATACACACCTAGGTCTTTCTCACATTCAGTCTCAAATAGTGCAGTTTCTTCATCCCGTTGGGACATATGATACGCCTCCTTACCGTTGGTACGCCCCAGGTGCATCCTCTTACACTTCGTGACATTGAATCTCAGCAGCCATTTCTTCGACCATTCTTGGAGCCCACAGAGGTCCTTCTGCAGCTCTTCACAGTCCCCTTGGTTCTTGATTTCCCGAAACAAATCGGTGCCATCTGCAAGCACTTGTATGGAGGAGTGTATGTAACCACATAGAATACCTTCCCATGACAGTAAGAATATCTTAGTATTCCTATTTAACAAATATTTTTTCTCAAATTCCTTTACAACTGAAAACCTGAAACATAAATGTATCGTTTAGTAACTCTTGTGCTGTAAAATAAATGCAGGTGGAGGAATTTACAAGGTTCCTTGCAAGGAATGTGTTATGTTCTACTTCGGCCAGACGGATAAAGATCTTATTACTAGACTAAACAGCATAAATATAGTGTTAGTGTCATGGTCACGTTGACTGCTCGTCTGTTTTAACTAATGATTTTTATTATACTCCACAAACGCAAAACATGAGTGGGTTAGCTATCCCCTAGAAGAAGCGTGTTTTTCCCGTTCTATGTTTACAGTCATGATCCCTCCCAGTAAAGCCTGCCTTCGAACACAGTTGTCAATACGTTTTTTCCACTTCTGCTGGCAAGCTCAATCTTGAATTAGTCTGTGTAAATCAACTTTAGTAATTCGCCAGACCTTTGTCAACTGAGGGTCATCCTTGAATGAGTAACAGTTGAGTTGTTTTTAATTTCTGTCATTGCGTGAGTAGCGATCGCTGGCAACTCAGGGGTATATATACCAAGGAGGAAAGGAGAGACGTCCTCCCGTGACGCTCTCCCGTTTGTCTCCAGATTCCAGGGTGGGCATATTCGAACACCCCATCGGCTGCTGAGCCGGTGGGTAACCAGCAGGGATCAATATATGCATTGATGTTGGTGATTCAACATGATTGAAAAGGCAGGTCCACCTCGTGGGCCGAGGGCACCAGACCCGCTTCGTGTAGGAGTGTAACCGACCACAACAGCAGTCATCAGTTGTTAGAGGCGCCAGTGTTATACCCTGGGACATGCCTTGGAGTTATATGGTCCAGAGTGTCTGTTGTAAAGGCTTGGGGATAATTAACTGGAAACAATTATCCCATGTTGGGTAGTGGACCCATGTATTTGTTGGTATCAGTATTAATGTGTTGTAGTGGACGTCTCCCCTACAACTGCTTATCGCATTCCGACGTGCCGTCTCCTAGCAACCAAGCGAGAGCTGACGCCAGATGGTACGGTTGCTTAGCAACGAAACTAGTCACCGGCAACTTTCTGGGTTTTCCCAACATGATTCATAGAGGACTGGCGGCTGCTGCTGGGTATATAAGCTCTGTCTCTCCATTGAGATTCAGTCTGACCATTCTTCTTGAACAAGCAACACCTCCTCCTCCGCGCTGCCTGGCTGCCTTCTCTTCTCCTCGCCTGCCTGGCGGCCCTCGCTCCCGCCAGCGAGCATGGCGACCCACCAGCTGTCCTTCTCTGAGCTTCCTCACCAACCAGCTTTCATTCTGCCCATCTTCCTGAACAAGCAACACCTCCTCCAGCAAGCTCCACGCTGTTAGCATTCATTCAATCAGGAGGCCAGCAACAGGCAACATCTTCTCTAACGAAGCTCCTGCACATCTACCTCCTTCAACACGCTACTCACCGAACGTCTTCTACTGAGCAGCTCCCCACCACACGGCACCTCCAGCACCAGACTGTCTATCATATAACTTATATTATATAAGAATACCACATTAGAGTTTCCTTCCATCCTGAGTGCTAGACAACATTAATATCTCGATACCCCTACAGTGTTGTGTGTGAGTGCATCTCCTATGAACTACCAACACTCTGTGGAGTATCTAAAATAAGGTTGTCTTATAACTGGATGTAATGAGAAGTACCCAGTAATGTGTGAGAAGTGAAGTTGTCACCTAGGGACTACCTCAGTAAAGCCAAGGAGTTGTCATGTGACTATGTATTGTGAGTAGGGCCAAGGAAATGGTACTGCTATGTAACGTAACGTAACACCAGTAAGGGTGTGAGTAATAAGAGTGTAATATCTGAGTAACTTGCAGAGGAGTAAAATTAAGAAAATAAGTAAATAAGAAATACTGAGTTTGGTGGCGCCCCCAGAGGCCCGCCAAGGGGGAATGTCGCCCCAAGGGGCTCTTCTTAGGGGAAGCGATGCCCCCAGGGTCTCTCCTCAGGGTCAGCGGTGCCCCCAGGGGATCTTTCAGAAGCAGTGGGGCCCCCAAGGGCCAGCTAGACCCTAAGGGGCCCTCCCAGGGGCCCTCCCAGAGGAGCCCCCAGCCAAGAGAACAATAGCTTTGCGTCGTGGTGTCGTGCATATTACATACGTCCACCAATCCCTTACTTAGCTGTGATTGGTGGATTAAAATATAAATCCAAATAACAGCCAATAGGAGAATAGGGCAGTCAGTCAGCACAACACCCCAACTTATGTTTTCCTGTTGGATATTTATTCTCCTTTACATTGTTGATGGTGTGATGATACTGGATATGCTATGGGCGGTGTTTTTATTCATATCTCCCATTGTTCTAAATGTGCAAAAACAACTGCCCCCACACGTCAATCCAGTGATAGTGTCCCCTGGGGCCCTCCTATTTGCCCTACCAGGTGCGTCGCCCTTAGGGGCTCTCCCAGGGTTGTCGGTGCCCCGAGGGGCCTTGCCATGGGTGGCGGCGCACCCAGGGGCCCTGCCATGGGTGGTGGCGCACCCAGGGGCTTTACCAGGTGCGGTGGCGCCCACAGGGTCTCTCCTAGGGGCACCGGTGCCCCCAGGACACCTCTCAGGTGTGGTGGCGCCCTCAGGGGCCCGCCAAGGGGGAACGTCACTCCCAGGGGCCCGCCAAGGGGTAACGTCGCCCCCAGGGGCCCGCCAAGGGGTAACGTCGCCCCCAGGGGCCCGCCAAGGGATAACGTCGCCCCAAGGGGCCCTTCTTAGGGGAAGCGATGCCCCCAGGAACTCTCCTCAGGGTCAGCGGTGCCCCCAGGGGATCTTCCAGAAGCAGTGGGGCCCCAAGGGCCGGCTAGACCCTAAGGGGCCCTCCCAGAGGAGCCCCCTGCAGAGAGAACTGTAGCTCCGGGTCGTGGTGTCGTACATATTACATACGTCCAGCAATCCCTTACTTAACTGTGATTGGTGGACTAAAATGTAAATCCAAATAACAGCCAATAGGAGAACAGAGCAGACAGTCAGCACAACACCCCAGCTTATGTTTTCCTGTTGGATATTTATTCTCCTTTACATTGTTGATGGTGTGATGATACTGGATATGCGATGGGTGGTGTTTTTATTCATATCTCCCAGTGTTCTAAATGTGCAAAAAAACAACTGCCCCCCACGGCCAATCCAGTGATAGTGCCCCCTGAGGCCCTACTATTTGCCCTACCAGGTGCGTCGCCCTTAGGGGCTCTCCCGGTTCTGTCGGTGCCCCGAGGGGCCTTGCCATGGGTGGCGGCGCACCCAGGGGCCCTGCCATGGGTGGTGGCGCACCCAGGGGCTTTACCAGGTGCGGTGGCGCCCACAGGGTCTCTCCTAGGGGCACCGGTGCCCCCAGGACACCTCTCAGGTGTGGTGGCGCCCTCAGGGGCCCGCCAAGGGGGAACGTCACCCCCAGGGGCCCGCCAAGGGGTAACGTCGCCCCCAGGGGCCCACCAAGGGGTAACGTCGCCCCCAGGGGCCCGCCAAGGGGTAACGTCGCCCCAAGGGGCTCTTCTTAGGGGAAGCGATGCCCCCAGGAACTCTCCTCAGGGTTCAGCGGTGCCCCCAGGGGATCTTCCAGAAGCAGTGGGGCCCCAAGGGCCGGTTAGACCCTAAGGGGCCCTCCCAGAGGAGCCCCCTGCCGAGAGAACTGTAGCTCCGGGTCGTGGTGTTGTACATATTACATACGTCCAGCAATCCCTTACTTAACTGTTATTGGTGGACTAAAATGTAAATCCAAATAACAGCCAATAGGAGAACAGAGCAGACAGTCAGCACAACACCCCAGCTTATGTTTTCCTGTTGGATATTTATTCTCCTTTACATTGTTGATGGTGTGATGATACTGGATATGCGATGGGTGGTGTTTTTATTCATATCTCCCAGTGTTCTAAATGTGCAAAAAAACAACTGCCCCCACGGCCAATCCAGTGATAGTGCCCCCTGAGGCCCTACTATTTGCCCTACCAGGTGCGTCGCCCTTAGGGGCTCTCCCGGGGCTGCCGGTGCCCCGAGGGGCCTTGCCATGGGTGGCGGCGCACCCAGGAGCCCTGCCATGGGTGGTGGTGCACCCAGGGGCTTTACCAGGTGCGGTGGCACCCACAGGGTCTCTCCTTGGGGCACCGGTGCCCCCAGGACACCTCTCAGGTGTGGCGCCCTCAGGGCCCGCCAAGGAGGAACGTCACCCCAGCCCGCCAAGGGGTAAAGTCGCCCCCAGGGGCCCACCAAGGGGTAACGTCGCCCCCAGGGGCCCGCCAAGGGGTAACGTCGCCCCAAGGGGCCCTTCTTAGGGGAAGCGATGCCCCCAGGAACTCTCCTCAGGGTTCAGCGGTGCCCCCAGGGGATCTTCCAGAAGCAGTGGCCTCCCAGAGGAGCCCCCCGAGAGAACTGTAGCCCGGTCGTGTGTCGTACATATTACATACGTCCAGCAACTCTCACTTAACTGTGATTGCGACTAAAAATGTAAAATCCAAATAACAGCCAATAGGAGAACAGAGCAGACAGTCAGCACAACACCCCAGCTTATGTTTTCCTGTTGATATTTATTCTCCTTACATTGTTATGGTGTGATGATACTGATAGTGATGGGTGTGTTTTATTCATATCTCCCAGTGTTCTAACTGTGCAAAAAACAACTGCCCCCACGGCCAATCTTACAGTGATAGGCCCCTGAGGCCCTACCATTTGCCGTACCAGTGCCACCCTTCGGGGCTCTCCTGGGCTGTCGGTGCCCTGAGGCCTTGCCATGTGTGGCGGCGCGCACCCAGGGCCCTGCCATGGGTGGTGGCGCACCCAGGGCTTTACCAGGTGCGGTGGCATCACAGGGTCTCTCCTAGGGGCACCGTGCCCCAGGACACCTCTCAGGTATGGTGGCGCCCCCATGGCCCGTGCCAAGGAGGAACGTCACCCCAGGGCCCGGCAGGTAATGTCGACACTTTCAGGCCCGGCAGGTAACGTCGCCCCAGGGGCCCGCTAAGGGGTACGTCACCCCAAGGGGCCCTTTTCTTAGGGGAAGGATGCTGACCAGGAACTCTCCTCAGGGTCAGGTACTCTAGGGATCTTCCAGAGCAGGGGCCCTAAGGGGCCGCCACCCCTAAGGGGCCCTCCCCAGGAGTGCTTCCTGCAGAGAACTGTAGCTCCGGGTCGTGGTGTCGTGCACACATATACGTCCAGCAATCCCTTACTTAACTGTGATTGGCAGGACTAAAATGTAAATCCAAATAACAGCCAATAGGAGAACAGAGCAGACAGTCAAAGCACAACACCCAGCTTATGTTTTTCCTGTTGGATATTGTATTCTCCCTACATTGTTGATGCAGACAGATACGATATGGGGATGGGTGGTGTTTATATTCATATCTCCCAGTGTTCTAAATGTGCAAAAAAAACAACCGCCCCCACGGCCAATCCAGTGATAGTGCCCTGAGGCCCTACTATTTGCCCCACCAGGTGCGTCGCCCTTAGGGGCTCTCCTGGGCTGTCAAGTGCCCCTGAGGGGCCTTGCCATGGGGTGTGGCGCACCCAGGGGCTTTTACGAGGAAGTGGTGGCGCCCACAGGTCTCCAGGGGCACCGGTGCCCCCAGGACACCTCTCTCAGGTGTGGTGGCGCCTCAGGGCTCCCGCCAAGGGAACGTCACCTGCAGGCCCAGCCAAGGGGCAACGTCGACACCCCAGGCCCACCAAGGCACGTCACACCTCAGGCCCGCCATAAGTAACATCACCCCAAGGGGCCCTTCTTAGGGAAGCGATGCCCCAGGAACTCTCCCCTCAGGGTCAGCGGCAGCCCCAGGACCTTCCAAAGGGCCCAAGGGCTGCCTGTAATTTAAGGGGTTTCCCAGGGCCTCCCAGAGGAGCCCCGCCAAGAGAACTATAGCTGCGTCGTGGTGTCGTGCATATTACATACGCCCACCAACTTTCTTTACTACGTGATTGCGGATTAAAATATAAATCAACAACAGCCATTAGGAGAATAGGGCAGTCAGTCAGCACAACACCCCAAATTTATGTTTTCCTGTTGGATATTTATTCTCTTTACATTGTTGATGGTGTGATGATACTGGATATGCGATGGCGTTTTATTCATATCTCCCAGTGCCTCTAAATGTGCAATCCAGTGATAGTGTCCCCCTGAGGCCCTACTATTTGCCCTACCAGGTGTCGCCCTTAGCTCCCAGGGCTGTCGGTGCCCGGAGGGCCTTGCCATGGGCGGCATGCACCCAGGGGCTCCCCTGCTGGGTGTGGCGCACCCAGTGGCTTTTACCAGGTGCGGTGGCGTATCTACAGGGTCTCTCCTTAGGGGCACCGGTGCCCCAGGACACCTCTCAGGCATGGTGGCGCCTCAGGGGCCCGCCAAGGGGAACGTCACCCCCAGGGGCCCGCCAAGGGGTACGTCGCCCTTAGGCCCAAATAAGGGGTAACGTCACCCTAGGGGCCCGCCAGGTAACGTCGACACTTAGGGGCCCAAATACAGTAATGCCCCAGGGCTCACAGGGTAACGTCACCCCAGGGGCCCAATTGCGCAACGTCACTCCCCAGGGCCCGCCAGGGTACCGCCGCCCCTAAGGCCCTTTCTTAGGAAGCGATGCCCCAGGAACTCTCCTCAGGGTCATGGTGAGCCCCAGGGATCTTCTAGAGCAGGGGGGCCCCAAGGGCCGGCTATAGACTCCTAAGGGCTCCAGGAGGAGCCCCCTGCGGAGAGAACTTAAACGTCGTGGTGTCGTGACATATTACATACGTCCAGCGCAATCCTTACTTAACTGTGATTGGTGGACTAAAATGTAAATCCAAAGAACAGCCAGGCCAGGAGAACAGAGCAGACAGTCAAAGCATGAACACCCCCAGCTTATGCTTTCCTGCTGGATATTTATTCTCCTTTACATTGTTCATAGTGTGATGATACTGGATATGCGATGGGTGGTGTTTCTGACCATATTCCCAGTGTTCTAAATGTGCAAAAAACAACGCCCCACGGCATGAATCCCAGTGATAGTGCCCCCCTGAGGTCTCATTTGCCCTACCAGGTGCGTCGCCCCAGGGCCTCCGGGGTTGCTGGTGCCCTGAGGCCTTGCTACAGGCGACGCACCCAGGGGCCCCAAGCATGGGTGGTGGTGCACCCAGGGCCACCAGGTGCGGTGGCGCCCACAGGGTCTCTCCTAGCACAGGTGCCCCAGACACCTCAGGTGTGGTGGCGCCCCCAGGGGCCCGCCAAGGGAGGAACGTCACCCCCAGGGGCCTGCCAAGGGGAACCGCCAGTTCCAGGCCCGCCAAGGCAACGTCGACTCCCCAGGCCCGCCATAATGTCGCCCTGCGCCCTTTCTAGGGGAAGCGGATGCCCCCAGGAACTCTCTCCCTCAGGGTCATGTACACTTCCAGGGATCTTCCCTAGAAGCAGGGGCCCCAAGGGCCGGCTAGGACCCTTCCCAAGTGGGACCCTCCTGAGGAGCCCCCTGCCGAGAGAGAGGAACTGTAGCTCCGTCGTAGTAAGCGTACATATTACATACGCCCAGCAATCCCTTACTTAACTGTGATTGTGACCAAAATGTAAATCCAAATAACAGCCATTAGGGAGAACAGAGCAGACAGTCAGCACAACACCCCCAGCTTATGTTTTCTCTTGTTGATATTTATTCTCCTTGTTGTTGATGGTGTGATGATACTGATATGCGATGGGTGGTGTTTATTCATCTCCAGTGTTCTAAAATGTGCAAAAAAACAATTGCCTCACGCACAATCCAGGATAAAAGTCTTGAACTACTATTTGCCCTACCAGGCAATGCCCTTAGGGCTCTCCCTGGCTGTCGGTGCCCCCTGAGGGGCCTCAGCCATGGGCAAGTGGCGCACCCAGAGCCTGCCATGTGCGGTGGTGCACCCAGGGGCTTTTTACCAGTGGTACCCACAGGTCTCTTTTCTGTGCCTGGCAGTTCCCCAGGGACCTCAGTAGGGAGGCTCTAGGGGCCTGCTGGGTGAGGGAATGTCACTCCCCAGGGCCTGCCATAAACACCGTCACCCCCAGGCCCGCCAAGGTAATGCCGCCCCAAGGGGCCCCTTCTTAGGGGAACTCTGATGCCCCAGCTCTCCTCAGGGTCATGGTGCCCCAGGGATTCCTTCAGACAGGGCCCAAAGGGCCGGGCTAGGACCCTGGTGGACCTTCCAGAGGAGCCCCTGCCGAGAGAACTGTAGCCCGGATCGTGGTGTCGTATATATTACATAACAGTCTGCAATCCTTACTTAACTGTGATTGGTGGGACTAAAATGTAAATCCAAATAACAGCCAATAGGAGAACAGAGCAGACAGTCACACGCAATGTCTTCAGCTTATGTTTTCCCTGTTGATATTTATTCTCCTTTACATTGTTGATGGTGTGATGATACTGGATATGATGGGTGGTGCCTTTTATTCATATCTCCCAGTGTTCTAAATGTGCAAAAAATGGGGTCCGCCCCACGGCCAATCCAGTGATAGTGCCCCTGTGGCCCTACTATTGCTCCTACCAGGCAAGTGTCGCCCTTAGGGGCTCTCTCCCTGGGCTGTCGGTGCCCTGAGGGGCCTTGCCATGGGGCAAGGGTGCACCCAGGAGTCTCTGCCATAGGTGGTGGTGCACCCAGGGGTTTTACCAGGTGCGGTGGGCACCCACAGGGTCTCTCCTTGGGGCACTGGTGCCCCCATAGGAACCTTCAGGTGTGGTGGCGCTGGCCTGCCAGCTGGAGGAACGTCACCCCCCAGGGGCCCGCCAAGGGGACCGTCGCAACCAGGGCCCGCCAGTGGTTAACGTCGCCCCAAGGGGCTCTTTTTCTTTAGGGAAAGGATACACCCCAGGGCTCTCCTCAGAGTCAGCGGTGCCCTCTAGGGATCTTTCCAGAAGCAGTGGGGCCCAAGGCCGGCTATATTCCCTATAAGCCCTCCCAGGGGCCTCCCCAGAGAGCCCCCAGCCAAGAGAACTATGCTTTGCGTCGTGGTGTCGCATATTACATTACTGTCCACCAATCATTTACTTAGCTGTGATTGGTGATTAAAATATAAATCCAAATAACAGCCAATAGGAGAATAGGGCAGACAGTCAAAGCACAAACACCCCAGCTTATGTTTTCCAAGTTGATATTTATTCCTTTACATTGTTGATGGTGTGATAATACTGGATATGCTATGGGTGGTGTTTTATTCATATCTCCTATTGTTCTAAATGTGCAAAACAACTGCCCTCATTAATGTCAATCCAGTGATAGTGTCCCCTGGGGCCCTCCCATTTGCCCCATTCAGGTGCGTCGCCTTAGGGGCTATCCTGTGGGTGTCGGTGCCCCTCATGGGACCCTCTCTTCAGGTAAAAGTTAGTACCTCAGGCCCAATTACAGGGGAAACGTCGCCCTTGGAGCCTGTCATAAGTAACGTCGCCCCAAGGGGCTCTCTTTCTATAGAAGTGATGCCCCACGGGCTCTCCTCAGGGTCAGCGGTGCCCCAGGAGATCTTCCAGAAGCCAGTGTGAGGCCTCAAGAGGCAGCTGGACCCTCAGAGCCCCTCAGGGCCCTACCAGAGGAGCCTCCCTACCAAGAGACCTATAGCTTTCGGTCGGTGTTCCACACATATGCCACGTCCACCAATCACCATTTAACTGTGATTGGTGGACTAAAATGTAACCAACAACAGCCAATAGGAGAACAGAGCAGACAGTCAGCACAACACCCCAGCTTATGTTTTCCTGTTGATATTTATTCTCCTTTACATTGTTGATGGTGTGATATACGATATGCGATGGGTGGTGTTTTTATTCATATCTCCCAGTGTTCTAAATGCAAAAACAACCGCCCCACGGCCAATCCAGTGATAGTGCCCTGAGGCCCCTGTACTATTTGCCCCACGGTGCGTCGCCCTTAGGGGCTCTCCTGGGGCTGTCGGTGCACCTGAGGGCCTCGCCATGGGGTGGCGGCGCACCCATGGCCCTGCTGGCGGTGGTGGCGCACCCAGGGGCTTTACCAGGTGCGGTATATTCCACAGGGTCTTCCTAGGGCACCGGTGCCCCCCAGACACCTCTCAGGTGTGGTGGTATGTTTTCCTGTTGGATATTTATTCTCCTTTACATTGTTGATGGTGTGATGATACTGGATATGCGATGGGTGGTGTTTTTATTCATATCTCCCAGTGTTCTAAATGTGCAAAAAAACAACTGCCCCCACGGCCAATCCAGTGATAGTGCCCCCTGAGGCCCTACTACTTGCCTTACCAGGTGCGTCGCCCTTAGGGGCTCTCCCAGGGCTGTCGGTGCCCCGAGGGGCCTTGCCATGGGTGGCGGCGCACCCAGGAGCCCTGCCATGGGTGGTGGTGCACCCAGGGGCTTTACCAGGTGCCGTGGCGCCCAGAGGGTCTCTCCTAGGGGCACCGGTGCCCCCAGGACACCTCTCAGGTGTGGTGGCGCCCTCAGGGGCCCGCCAAGGAAGAATGTCACCCCCAGGGGCCCGCCAAGGGGTAACGTCGCCCCCAGGGGCCCGCCAGGGGGTAACGTCGCCCCCAGGGGCCCGCCAAGGGGTAACGTCGCCCCAAGGGGCCCTTCTTAGGGGAAGCGATGCCCCCAGGAACTCTCCTCAGGGTCAGCGGTGCCCCCAGGGGATCTTCCAGAAGCAGTGGGGCCCCAAGGGCCGGCTAGACCCTAAGGGGCCCTCCCAGAGGAGCCCCCTGCCGAGAGAACTGTAGCTCCGGGTCGTGGTGTCGTACATATTACATACGTCCAGCAATCCCTTACTTAACTGTGATTGGTGGACTAAAATGTAAATCCAAATAACAGCCAATAGGAGAACAGAGCAGACAGTCAGCACAACACCCCAGCTTATGTTTTCCTGTTGGATATTTATTCTCCTTTACATTGTTGATGGTGTGATGATACTGGATATGCGATGGGTGTGTTTTTATTCATATCTCCCAGTGTTCTAAATGTGCAAAAAAACAACTGCCCCCACGGCCAATCCAGTGATAGTGCCCCCTGAGGCCCTACTATTTGCCTTACCAGGTGCGTCGCCCTTAGGGGCTCTCCCGGGGCTGTCGGTGCCCCGAGGGGCCTTGCCATGGGTGGCGGCGCACCCAGGAGCCCTGCCATGGGTGGTGGTGCACCCAGGGGCTTTACCAGGTGCGGTGGCACCCACAGGGTCTCTCCTTGGGGCACCGGTGCCCCCAGGGGACCTCTCAGGTGTGGTGGCGCCCCCAGGGGCCCGCCAAGGAGGAACGTCACCCCCAGGGGCCCGCCAAGGGGGACCGTCGCCCCCAGGGGCCTGCCAAGGGGTAACGTCGCCCCAAGGGGCTCTTCTTAGGGGAAGCGATGCCCCCAGGGGCTCTCCTCAGGGTCAGCGGTGCCCCCAGGGGATCTTCCAGAAGCAGTGGGGCCCCAAGGGCCGGCTAGACCCTTAGGGGCCCTCCCAGGGGCCCTCCCAGGGGAGCCCCCAGCCAAGAGAACTTTAGCTTTGCGTCGTGGTGTCGTGCATATTACATACGTCCACCAATCCCTTACTTAGCTGTGATTGGTGGATTAAAATATAAATCCAAATAACAGCCAA